GAGCCCAACTAAAGAAACGCAACCTAATATTACTAATCCTTAATCAACACTATAACTAGTTAAATTTAATAGTTCCAGGATATCGTCATAAAGCATTGTCATAACTTGACAATCACGTAATATGACTGATAAAATTAATGAAACTATTAACGAAATCGGTCAACAAATTGACTTATAATTACCATTAAATGGTGTTGTTTTCTTGGTATCTTCATCCCTCACAGATGATTACAGTATGTTTCTCTCTCAGTTGCTCATTCAGTAAATATCTCAAAACCTTGTCAGTCTAATTGATGGTTTAGCGACACAATCATGCATGCAAATAATCAGTATAAGCAGTCGAGCAAATCTCCTGCAAACTGAAAACATCAATGTCGAATTTACCCCAACACTGACTAAGGTTCAAGCCATTATCATAGACATGAGTTGGGAGTGTACTCCCCTAGGTTACAACTTATGTTCTCTCTGATAATCACACGAGCATCACTCACTATTAATCATCTTGTAAAAACTTGTTTAGCTAAATACATCTTGCAGCACCACATCACTTCGTAATACGATACAGGCCTAACTGATTTTAATAACTTATAACCACTATATCTCGATTATATCGTATTCCGCCTTATGATAAACTGCATACTTGCAACTAACTTGTATGCCCAATCAGCCGGCAAGTATAAATACAAATAAATAGTCTGCCACAGATCAGAACATTGAGTCTAGAGCATGTCTCTTATGAATACACTCAGGTTTAACGATTTGTTTCTAGCTATCTGTCCAAAATTCACATAATTATCACTCACGTATTTAAATTTTGTTTTAATAACCATTCATGTGTATTAGTAGTATTAATAAATTCTATCACGGTCAAGTAAAAATGAGGTTGAGAAAATCTCCCCGTAACTAAATAAACCGTATCAAACTAACAGGAACACTAGTTGGAATTCTTCTCCACGTTAATACTTTTGTTCTTTCAGTTAGCCTATTAATATAGATGCAATTGGAAATTATATATGGACAACTTACCGGCATAATCGTTATTTGATTTCATAGTTTAAACCAAAACTAATACCAATATTAACATTTCTACAATATTCATTACTTTAATATTTCTAAACACAAAATAATTACTGCCTATAAGTCAAGTTATTAACACGCATCGTTTTATTATTATTGTAATCCCATTTTTTTTTATAGCTCAAATAATCTTCACCCAAATTGTCATTTTAAGTGTGTTAAGCATGAAGGCAGATTTAAAAAAAAATTATTACATGTATTTCCCGACCAGATGCTGCCGCCTTTCTTTTTGATTTATCTTTCAGCTTATCATTACCCGGGGAATTCTTCCTAGTCTTGGTAACCTTCGGCGCACGACGATCCCATCCAATTTGGTATCGAACCAACAACACGTTGATTCTGGTGGGAGAGTAGTGTAGTGGCATTGGACAATAGCCACACAATCCACAAAGCTGTGAACACGAGACTACTCAGAAAATAGATATTCAATATTTAACGCGGAGAAATGCCTAAAAATGGAGAAGGCGCGAACAATGAATGGAATGGACTGGAGTTGATCGAGTGGCATGGCTCGGCCATGCAGGCGTGGTCTCTATTCATATTAAATATATTGTTCCTTCTCTAAACTAACCTTCTTATTCATCATGTATTGGTAATTGATACGATACAGTGAGTTGGCGTAGTCGATGGTGTGACTTCCACGTAAGATCTTATAGATTAGGCAGTTATATCATGACGAATCTACAAATTTAGGATTAGGTCTATTATTAGAGCAGTACTAATATCATAGTAGACTATAATTCTACAAGCCCACTGCCGACATCAAGTACGACAGTCGTATGCTGGAAGGATTATCCCGCTCTACTCGTCTCAGTTTCACTCATATCCCGATTCTAGGGGATTTCAATCTCCCTAGAGTCAACTTCGTGGAACATACGTACATTGGAGGTGAAAAGTCAACTAAAGCTCGGTTCTTCAACCTCATTGAGGACTTAGGATTATATGAAAATGTAAAGTCGGCAACTCGTTGAAGAAACAGTCAGACACCATCGCGCTTAGACTGTGTATTTACAAACGAAGAATTCCTAGTTGACAACCTCTCAATCCTGGCTCCCCTGGGAAAAAGCGATCGCGCCGTTAGAGCCTTCAGTTTCGTCAGCAAAACTGAGCTAAGATATCCCACCAACAACTTGAGCTGGAATTTCAAATGGTTGAATGTGTCAGCTCTACAGGACCATCTACAACAGGTGGATTGGGATGTTTACCCTCAACTCGATGTGGATGCTCATTGGGACTACTTACTGCACACGATCATATGTGCTACAAATCATTCAGTTCCTCAAATGGTTCCCAAAAGCTGCAAGCCACCTACAATAATCAAGAACCATACCCTTCGCCTGCTAAGCCGCAAAAGGTAATGTTGGGCGGAATACAAACGAACTGACAACGACGTAGCGTACAGGCAATATAACCATATAAGGAACATATGCACGAAGGCTATAAGAGAAGATAGGCTTCAGTACCAGACAAAGCTTATGGACAAATTTGCCTCCAATCCTAAAAGCTTATTCCGTTATGCAGCCTCTCTTCGTCAAGCAGAAACAGGAGTTCCCCAACTGGTAGGTCTTAACGGCCCGACCAACAACGATGGCGACGCCGCCAATCTCCTGGCTGAACATTACTCTCAGACATTTCAACCGTCCGACATCAACTATACTGATGACAGTTCCATTTGCAATTCCACAGGACTTTCCGAAGTGAACCTAAGAGCTGACTTGGTGTTCCGGAAACTGCAGCACTTAAGATTAGACACTTCTCCTGGCCCGGACATGGTCCATTCCGCCATATTGAGGGGAGCAGCCTCAATCTTGGCAACGCCGCTTAGCGTGATGTTCTCACACTCGTTATGTCGAGGAAAACTATCGGAAAATTGGAGGCCGACTCACATCACACCAATTTTCAAAGGAAGTCGACGCAGCGAACCTTCAAGTTACCGACCGGTGGCTCTTCTCTCCATACCCTCAAAAATCATGGAGTCCTTGATATGCGGTTGTATGAATGACTATTTACTGTCCTTAAATTTTTTCTCACCCCAACTGCATGGTTTCAGGAAGGGTTACTCTTGTAGAACCAACCTGCTGACTGCGGTGGACAGATGGACAAGCATCCTAGATCACAAGGGGAAGGCTGATATCATCTACCTAGATTTCTCAAAAGCTTTTGATAAGGTTAACCATACACTTCTTATCAATAAGCTCAAACGATTGGGTATCAGACAACCTCTAATCGATTGACTCACTTCATACCTGAAAAATCGATATTTTAAGGTCAGGGTTCATTTCACTTTATCTCAGGCTATGGAATGTCCTAGTGGGGTCCCCCAGGGCTCAGTACTAGGACCTATTCTCTTCTTGAATTATATAAATGATCTCCCTCAACAGGTAACGTCAGACTTATTACTTTTTGCAGACGACGTGAAACTTTGGAGAGAGATACGCAACCAAGACGATACACAGGCACTTCAGGAGGATCTGACTCGACTTCAAAGTTGGGCAGACGATAACGGACTTACCTTCAACACTTCAAAGTGTAAAGTAGTCCATCTGTGACATGTCGCAGACTACAGTTATAACTTAGGTACCTCCTCTCTAGTAGTATCCCAAGTCGAAAAAGATTTAGGAGTCTTGGTGCCCTACGATTTAAAGTCTTACGCTAACTGTGACAAAAATGCCTTCCGAGAAAACCTTGCACTGGTAACATTGAAGGGCATTTTTGGCCAGTTTGACGGAAGAACGTTCCTCATAACCTTCAATAGTTTTATCCGTCTCCATTTAGAGTACGGAAACGTAGTATTTCCTCCTTCGCTCCAAAAGGATAAGGACACCCTGGAGCGTATCCAACGGCAAGCCACGAAATCAGTTCAGGGACTCAAATTTAAACCTGTGGTGGTCGGTATTCGATATAATCCTTAGACTTCGTATACAGCTCGTCTTGATAACTGTTCTATATAACGTCCCAACGGTTTATTAATCAGAAGGCAAATACGAAGTGTTGATTACGTTTATTGCAAGACCACACACATATATTCAAATGTACAGATGCGTTAAACAAGGATAGAAGAGTTGTGCCGAAAGGCAAGCAAGCGAGCGAGAGCCATAGCAAGAGCGAGACGAGAGTGTGTGAGTGTGTGAGTATGAATAACATGGACATATATATAGCATGTGAAATGAATGAGTAATCGAATCAAATAATCAGTTAGTAGTAAGACTAGCAGAGTGAATAAATGCGTAGGCCGTAAGCAATATTCAAGCATAAGTATTTCATACAAGCACAAAATAAAAAGGGTACAATAAGTTGTTATAGTGCGGATGACTTTGTCCGCCAAATGAGTTAGCAAAAGGGCTTAACTGCGTTAGATGAGACTAAACTCATTTGCACGTGAGTCGCTATAAACCTTACGAAGAGCGCCTCTATTCACTTAACCTTTGCCCATTAGAGTATAGACGTCTTAGAGGTGACCTTCTGATGGCTTACAGTATCCTTACCATTTCTGGACATCCTCTCAAACACCTACTTAAGCTTAGCTCCAACGCTAACCTAAGAGGAAACACCCAAAAACTGGAGACACAACATAGCAAGACGGAATGTAGACACAACTTCTACTCCTTAAGAGTTGTCAAATGCTGGAATTCGCTTACGGTTGATCTAGTCCAAGCGACTTCCCAGGATTCCTTTAAGAGGCAACTTGATCTATTCTTAAGGACTAAGGATAGTATCACACTATGATTTACTAATTTCTTTTCCTCTTTTATTGTTAACATACCTAGGTTCCTGCCTGGAGGATTTGGTGATCCCCTGCTACTAGACACGGAAGCCTGTTAAGCGAAAGCTTCTTCTATTCCGTCCACAACCGTTTGAACTATTTGAAAGAAATCAGTTGGTGTATACAAGCTCAGGACAAGGATATTGGATATAGTTGGACCTGGTAAAGTTGACTTGTGCGGTACAATTTAGTGGTGTAGCCGTCCCAACGTCTGTTGAGCTTAAATTCTTTTTGATTGTGTTCCTTTTTGACTACATATAAGATTTCCTAATTAAGGATCATGATACGATAAACCTACTTCGTGAAAAGTGCTTTTGCGTTTCTATAGGTTTACAATGCCGATTCAGCATTCTCATATTGTTAAACTAGGCTTTTCTTTGTTACTCTCCTAAAACATCACTTTCCGGGACATTTTTAAAACTCATTAGCCGTAAGTGCCAACGAATTTCTCAGTGTACTTGATGCCAAATGCGTTCGGGATAAATTTAAAATGCATCGCACGCAACTTGACATTGTTGGACCCTGAGAGAATGATACAGTGTCTCTCAAAATAGTGTATCTGGACAACTTTCATATACCTATCAGAACACATTTCCACTTCTAATGGAAATTTATGACAATGCAATAAATAACGTCGGCAAGAGTGATAGTTTAAAACTGAATATGCAAGAATTGAGTGGCTCACAGTTGACCTTGAAGTACCTAGCCTACTTATTATCGCCTTAGTACCCATGTCACTGAGTCAGAAATCTCTTACTTAAGACGTGAAAATATCTGTCTTATCTTGCATAGCTTATGAGTTCTTTAGTTTCAGTTTCAGTTTCAGTTTGGGAAGGACAGGAGGCTCGATGGCCTATGTTAGTCCTGGCAATGGTGGTCTCTCAGTTGATCCAACCTTCTTTTGAAAGAGTCGACGGATGGAGCCTCAACCACGTGCTGAGGTAGTGAATTCCACTCGTTGATGATTCGATGGGAAAGTCGATAGTCAGCTGACAAGTAATTTGTTCTCGGCTTATGAACTTTTTTGGAGTGTCCTCGTAAATTCTCTGTTTTGGAAGACAAGAAAAATGAGGGCATGTTAGGTGCAAATTTATCACTAAGCAATTTGTAGACTGTAATCAAGTCGCCTCTAGTTCTGCGATATGACAACGGGAAAAGGTTCAGCTTGGCTAGTCGAGATTCATACGGAAGCTTCGCTATTGCGGGAACCAGCTTAGTCGCCATTCTCTGAACCTTTTCCAGAAGCTCTCTGTCTTTTTTTTAAGCAGGGGCTAGCCGCTTGTATGCAGTACTCAAGTTTAGGACGAACGAACACTGTATACAAAGTCAAAAACGTCTTAGTGTCGACATGACTAAAAGCCCTACGTATTGACCATAACGTTCTAAAACTTTTGGCGGCTATTGCACGGCAGTGTGCAGTAGTTTTTAAGTCTTGACTAACGATAACTCCTAAGTCATTATATGTCTGGACGACAGGTAGCTCAGTGTTATTCATCGTGTATGTATCTGTGCCTTGATGACCGATATGCATCACAACACACTTGGAAGTATTTATCGGCAACTGCCATGTTTGAGACCATTCAGATAACTTCTTCAGGTCATTTTGAAGTTCTAAGCTATCACTCTTACATCGTATCGTTCTCCATATCTTGACATCGTCAGCATATAGCAAGACCGATGATGATAGGAGACAAGGAAGATCATTTACATACAAGAGGAATAACACTGGCCCCAAAACTGTACCCTGGGGCACTCCACTAAGCACAGTTTCCCAGCTAGATAACTTTGAGTTCACCCTTACTCTTTGTTGACGCCCAACTAAGAAGTCTTTTATCCACATCAATAAATTACCTCCAATCCCGACATGTCTTAACTTGTATAACAGCCGGTTGTGCGGAACTTTATCAAAAGCTTTACTGAAATCAATGAAGGCGACGTCTACAGGTAGCTTTTGGTCCTTAAGAGCACACCAGCTTTCACGAGCCACTAATAAGTTAGTGAGACAAGAATAACCTATTCTGAAGCCATGCTGCTTCTCCGAGAGGATACGGTTTTTATCGAGATACTTAAACAGCTCCTTTCGAATAATCTTTTCTAATATTTTAACAACCACACTAGTTAGGCTAACGGGGCGGTAGTTCTCAGGTTTGTGTTTCGTGCCTGTTTTGAAGACAGGACTTACTATGGCGTTTTTCCAATCTTTCGGTAAGCGACCCTGCGTAACGGATAGGTTAAAGCATGTACTTAAAGGGTTCGCAACGAAGTTAGATAATTCCTTCAGTAGCCTAGGATGTAATTCATCGGGCCCCATGGATTTACCTATGTCAAGCTTATTTAGCAGACCAATGATATCGAGTTCTTTAATGGTCCCGCGATCCAGTGTATGTATGGGGAGATCTGTATACGCTCACGTGAAGGGCGCTTCTATGGTATACACGTTGCTAAAGTAGTTCGAGGACGCTTGAGCCTTACCAAAGTCGTCCTCCACTAATGATGAAGCAGTACTGTCTCCCCATAGAGCAGGAATATTTCCTATTCTCCTTGTCCTTTGGTTTATATAGGAATACAAGCGTTTAGGACATTCTATGGATTCCTTAACAAGTTTTTCTTCGTACAATTTTCTAGACTTACGGAGGGTCGAGGCACAAGTGTTCCGAGCCTTTCGATACTGAGATTTTGACTCATCAGTCCCCAGTAACCTAAATCTATCCCACGTTTTCCTTTTCTTACGGAGAAGGATACGGACCTCCCTACTGAACCATGGTGGTGAGTTTTTCGGCCCCTTTGGTATAGTCCAAGGGATGTGAGGTGTGGTAACTTTTAAGTATGATTTTCGAAATGTGTCCCAGGCCGTTTCAATGGAGGACTCTGGGTCTATTGTCCAATCTATTAACGATGCTGAGTGCATGATGTCTGGTATGTTTGCCTTCCAGACGTTGGGTCTGGACTGGACTGACGCGTCCTCATGACTGGCAGTTATATGGAAGTCGAAAGTTAAAACTGCGTGGTCACTTTTACCTAAGGGTGGCATATGGTGGAGGTTCGCAACATCATCCTCATAGTGAGTCAGTATAAGATCTAATAAGGATGATTCAGTGTCCGGGTCGTACCTAGTCGCTTCTTTCACATGTTGCACTAGGGCACATGTGATAACCGCATCAACTAGTTCCTGCTCAAAGGAATTTTCTGACGATTCAGTTCGCAGATTTTCCCAGTCTACCATTGGTGCATTAAAGTCCCCTAGGATTAGACATCGACCACTTTGGGACCAAGTATTGAGACTGCTTAACAGGATCTCATTTGCCTCACAGCTTGGACTGCGATAGACCAAACCAATCAGCAGTACGCATTCATTACTTTCAAGCATGTTATTTTAACTCTAGACACATTCCTAGAAGGCCAGTATACGTTTAAGCTTGAAAACGGGTCATAAGTGATTTTACTGATTGTTTCTTATCGTTCTTACTTCTTACTGGATTGACAAAAGACTTCACTGAACAACGATCTACGAAATATATAAACCCCAACTAATCGCTCATGTGCCTCATATAGTCCCTAATGTTATGTAGACCGTCAGTGATATCATTTAGTTGAGCTTACTTAGGCAAAATAGGGGAAACGGTCTATCACTAAATCATTTTTCGAGTTAAATATGTATCGAAAACAATTAGCAATTTGTGAAGTTTTGTTTCCGCGTCGTCATTTTTGCTACTTGATGCACCAAGCTCTTTGCCAATCCTAAGTAATTTTATCTCCAAATAAAGGGATCTTTCGAAAATATACCCTCAAGGAACAAGCTTCTTGCCGTATTTCTTTAATTTTATGCAAAACCGTAAAGCTCGTATGTAGTTCAGATTGGCTTGTGAGTATAATATTGTTGCACTCTGTATTGAAAACCAGGACATTATCTTTTCTACATTGTGTTCTATTTCTTCCAGTGTTGCTGATAATTCATTAGACTTGCGCGTCTTTTAATATTTTGATTTCGTGTGGTTGCGCGATGGCATGCATGTCATTGAAATTGCACTTTATCAATTAGTGATCAACTTAAGGGATTCTATTTCCTCCACGCTATTTAGGTGTAAGGTAAATTCGAAAAAAAACCAACGAAAGCCTATTACTTTACTCAGTCATGGTAGTGGTACGTTAGCAACAGTCTATAAGTTTATGCACTTGCATATTTTTGTGATTGTTGATAGCAAAATACACCTTTATCAGCCTGAGTCCCTTTTGTCGTCATTATGATGCGAATTCGGTCTTAAACGTTCAATTATAAATAATTCTATGTGACCAGTTTAGTTTCATCGTTAAAAAAGCCTTTTCTTTCGGGTTGGTGTCCAAAAGCTGTTTAGTAATTGTTTTTACCATTTGGCTTCTGTAATGGTTAGTAGAAAGTTTCATTGCCATACAGCTTCTCTTTAGTTAACATTTTCATAGATATGTCTATAGAGACAACGATATATCCTTTTGGTTACTCACAGGTTGACGTTCATTCCGAAAATTCACGTAGAATACGTTAATGACAGGTCTGTATGGGAAGAACTGAAAAACTATGGTCTGTTGACCGCAACAATTTGACCATGTTCGGGATGCGTTTCTTCTCTGAATGTAAAATGTTACTTCAAGATTAGTCTGCATCAAGTCTTAGTTTAATAAAAAAAAGTGAATAATTCACTTATTCTGAAAGTTTTCCCAGTATGTGATAGAGAATTTCCTGTATTTAGTAGAAAGATCATCCGAAAATAAACTTACTGAACTAAATGATGCTTGGATTCGCTATTTGCAGTTGTTTCCTTCAATTAAGAATATTAGGTAATTTACTGGAGAACAGTATATTTTTATGGACATTCCAGTATATCTAGCTATTATCGCGACATCACATTCGTCCTAATGCATAGTTTTCAATACGAATTCCAAATAAGAACCGATTAGAAATAGTTCTACCTAAGTCCCCAAATGCCCTGGTATGGCCGATGGTGAAGAGAGTCAGCTCCCTCTCTAAATGCTCTCATATGGAAGTCCTACTCACTACCTTCTCGTGGCGGGTGTGTTATTTACGAAATTGAGAGGACGAAAAGTGAATGTCCGGCACTTTAATTAGGTTGGTGGATATAGAGGATCCACCTAGGGGAGTCGGAGAACTCTGATTCTAACCAATGGTCACATCGGCTCCATGATCTTGAGGGAAAAAAACGGCGTATGAACCCATTGTTGGTTGTTCTCAGCCCTCACATAAATCAGATGGTTTGTACGGTGCATATATATTTGGTTCCTCCTTGTATCGATGTTTATGTTTAGATGAGTAAATAATAGTTCTATCTAAAGCCTCGTCAGTTGTAGGTTAGATTAATACATGAAACTTTAACTGGTTAGTGGATAGTATTGAGTCACGTTATTTATATCATGGAACATGGACTACTCTTCTTTTCTGATATTTTTCTTTCTATTTCTTTACATATAGCCTAAAAATCGGGTTTGTCTACAATAATTTCCTTTACTAATTGATACGTCTATTATTGTGAGACTGTGGAGTAAACATCTGAACTTGTTTCTTTGTATGGGCTCAAAGTCAAAAGCTCATGGGAATCGTAAAAAATGTAAAAAGAATAATGTTCACTTAGAAGCTCAACAGGATCGAGCATCTAAAGTATGTTGTAAAGGAAATGATGAAAATGATTATTATCTGAAAAATGATCCATCAGCGCCGGAATTCCGTCAGCAATTAAATCAACTTGGTTTAGATTTCCGGGAGGTACCATCAGATGGAAATTGTTTATTTTCATCGTTATCTGATCAATTATATGGAACAATAACTAATCATAAAGAAGTTCGTGAACAAGCTGTACTTTATATAGAAAAACATAAAGAAGAATTTGAGGCATTTTTCGATGTCAAAGATAGACTAAATAAACTTCGATCACTTGGAACTTACGTTGGTCACGAGTGTATCATTGCAATATCACGGCATTTTTCTGTATATATTATTATACATCAACTAAAACAAAAACCTTGGCTAGCCGGAACTCCTGTTATCGACAAAACACATGTCAACGTTTCTACCTACCCTCAATTACATTTAGCTTATCATAATGGTGAACACTATTCAAGCGTACGAGTTTTCGGAGATAATTCCAGTAATCCTACAAGAATAAGAATTTGTATTTCAACTGATAATTCTGCTTCATATGCAAGCAATACATCTGATAGGAAATGTGTGGACTACTCTTCTGATGGCTCGGATGATAAAAGCTCTATTCATTCATGTAAAAATTGTGATAGACAGTCGAATAAAATTTCTAACTGTAATACAGACTACTTTCAAACATTTCCATTTCGCAGAAAATTAAGTAAAAAAGGAAAACGTCAACTTAGACGTATATCTCTTGAATTGTCTAACTCCGAATTTGTTATTAAATCTATTTCTGCTCTACATATATAACTTATAACTGATTGTCACTCCTTTTTTTCTTGTCACAACGACTTTTCTGCTTCTTATTTCATACTAGATAATAAATTGTATATTTGAGATTTTCGTATTTTTTTCTCGATTATTGAACTATATTTATTAATTTTATATTTTACAACTATGTAGTTTTCACGAATATATGATTGCAGTGTACTTATTCCAGATTACATTCTTTCTTAGTACTGATTTTTTTTTGAAAATTGCCCTGAGTGTTTGGGAATTGAAGTGCTTCTAAAAATCACTTTTGGATAGCCATATTATGAAGACATTAAAAAGAAAGATATGTTCTGAAAATTCTCAGTATTTGAAATTAAAAATAACCAGTGTTCCGTTGGAGAGTTTAGTCTGAGCGGGTGAAAGTACAAGAGTCCTATTAAGTAATGCAGGCACTTTTATTACGTAGTTCACAGCTGTGATGCTTTTATTTCTGCATTTTTATATTTCACGAAGTTTTTGCTACTGTTCTCGCTCTCAGCATTATCCAGCATATTTATTGTTATGGTTCATTAGTCAACAAAGAGATTTTTCGAAATATTGGAATAATTTAACCACTACATGTTATTTGCACAGTTTGCATATTTCTATGTTATTACTTCTTTTACTTGAGCAGTGACACAAATCCATTTACCCTTCGTCTTCCCGTAGTTGTTATTTCGAAACTATCTTATGCTTTTTATTCTGCGAATTTATTCCTTCCCTTCGGATCATATTCTTTGTATCCGATATTTTCCAATGCTACTGGCACTTTTACCACTTTTAGTACTCTAGAACTTGTCTTGATAATTTCATTTTGCTGTGGTGATATGGTGTGGCAACTTGAATTGATACACATATGTTCCAGGTTCTACGTTGTGTATGACTGACTGATAAAGGTTTAAAAAACATTTAAACTAGTTTAACAGCATAATAACTAAAAACTATATTTAGTGATGCAAGCTTCTTATGGTAGGCTAAAATTATAATAGTATTTGATTATTTAAAATATTAAGAACACAAAGTTTAGCGAAGGGATCTCTTTTCAACGAATTTATTATCCTCACGGAATTAGTACTTTAACAAGAAAAAATTTCATATATATACGATTGTACAGTTTGCTAATAAATTCGTTGTAAAGAGATCTCTTCGCTTAACTTCGTGTTTTTAATTTTTAATATTTAAAATATATTAAGTAAAATACAAATTAATATTTCAAAGGTTGTGGGTTGATGGTTTAAACTAATGTGCTTTCAACTACTCATAGTTTCTCTTAAGGTATTAGAAAATCTTCCACTGGATTTTCACTATATTTCGTATGCAATTTTGTATATGATTAAATTAGATGAGTTCCGTTTAGTTCCATGAAAGAGAGTTTATAAATAGTATATCGGTGTAACTTATACAAGCTTTATGGGAGCTTGTTTTGTAAGGTTCGTATACAATTAATGTTTGTCGGTCACCTTTCAATGTCTGTCACTCATTAAGTTTTTTTGATTTCCAATATATTTTGTTTTTACTTAGGAAATAGATTCTAATAAATTACTTAATATAGAGTGATAGTGTGAAACAGATTTAAACAGGTATGAAAAAATAATGGGATAACAATCTGTTGATTATACGCTCCATATAAAATTATAACTTCTTCAAATGCCATTTATAAGCCATTATTCAACACTTGAATGTATTGTAAAACATTCAATTATAATGGTATAAATGGGGACAAATGGCCCTAAAGTTTGTTTTAAAATAAACCGAAAACACTTGTGAAGATATAAAACAAGAAAGTGATGTTTTTGGTAGTGCTCAAAATAATAATTGTTCCACCCTATGTAGCTCAGTCGAGTCATCACGGTAAGAATGCTTGACCATCTCATTAGGGTAACAGCTGTGGTCGGAAGTGTGTGTTAATAAGAGGGTATACCGGGCTGTTTATTACCTCATAAGTCGGAACCCTCGTCTTTCTCCTCAGTAGCTCCATATATATATACAGTTATCACAGTTGAAAGTGAAATACACAGAACTGAATTGAGACTTGGTGTATATTTCTAAGTAGTACCAAAATAACATACTCCAATGTCAGCAAAAAAACATTCGAGAAATAATCCCACATGAAATAAAGAAATTTAAAGGGATTTATGTGCAAAGCAACTGAAAACGTAAAGAGCGATATGATACTCAATGTTTATATGAATACACATAAGGAACGGTTCTTTTGCTAACGCTTAGTTTTATGATACATATTTTTATTTTTCGAATCTTATTAAGGAAATACAATGTTCCTTGTTTGTTATTTAGATAATGTCTGATATTCTTTAATATCTATGCTTTGTTTTAATTCAACCACTACTTCATAGTTTTCAACCAACTGAAAATGAAAAATGGTTTGTTAGAAATAACCATATCATGTTTACATCATGTATGTTTAAATGTACCGTCTTTACTGACTTTTTTTTCTATATTTTCAACAATTAGATTTTTGTATATCCTGTACGAAAAAAATACAAAATTAGATACTCATTTATGAGTGAGGGATGGGTAACCAACTCACCGGACTATCACCTTCACCAGTTGTTGAAGATTATTTATCCGAATTATCCGGCCTAGTTGTATTTGAAGAAGAACTTTGCGGTTCTAGATTGTTTAAAGTGGCTAAAATAAGGTTAGTGTTTATTCGACTTCGCTTATTTGAAGTTATGTTGGTAATATTTTGTAAAGGTTTATTTCTTATTTATAAGTGTTACTGTAATCTGGGTTGATGCTTATCTTTCATTTTTTTCAGCCATAATCACTAAAATAACTAGGGTCGGATAGACAAAATGTAAAGTTTTTAGAAAAAGCCTAGACACCAGTTCATCAAACTAATGACTTCTGTTATTGTATGTTTCTTGCTTGGAACATACAAGACAGCAAAAACTGAAGTTGAAAACTAAATTCAGCACAGCATAGACAATCCCAGAGAACAGTCCTATCCAACGAATCGAAGGCAGCCCTGATGTCGTAAAACACTACGATTGTTGGCCTTTGAAAAGTATGGCGGTGTTCTAACATTTGGCGGAGGGTGAAGATATGATCAATACATCCTCGATCAGAACGAAACCCAGCCTGCTCCTCGCGAGTCAATCTTTCTCGGGTTTTGAACAGTCTACGAAGTATGACGGAAGCCAATAGCTTGGACGCAATCGGAAGTAGACTTATCCCCCGATAGTTGTTACAGGAACGACGTGAACCTTTTTTAAAGATAGGGACAACTATCGACTCATTCCATGACGTTGGTACACTCTCTAGTTCCCAAACCTTTGTAAACAACGTCGTCAGTTCCTTAGTCAGAAAGTCACCACCATCTTTAAAAAGAGCCGGAGGTAAGTCATCTGGGCCAGGTGATTTGTAGCGCTTCAAGAGTTGGAGTTCCTCGCAGACTTCCGCCTCATTTGGTGGATCAGTCGTCACCGGCCATGGAGGGCAGGACAGTCTGACCGATGTTGCCGGAGCAGCAGGCCAGTTGAACTGCCCTTCAAGAAATTCTGCCCATCGTCCAAGACGTCGATGGATGTTAGTGATTGGCATCCCGTCATCCTCGCAGCTTGTTTCGCTCACACCAGACTTCTTGCTGCCAGTGTCTCGGATGAGTTGGAAGAGCTTCCGGTAATTACCAGATGCAACTGCTGCTTCCAGCTCATTAGCACGCTCCGACCACCAGGTTCATACGCCATTTGTTCCCGCAGGATACTGGAGCCCATGTGCACCATTGACTTGGAATCCGGCTAAAGCGCCGGACATTCGCTTTTCGTCCTCTCATTTTCGTAAACAACACCCCCGCCATGAGAAGGCAGCGAGTAGGACTTCCCTGGCAGAGGCTGTATACGCGTGGCCATGTGAGAGTATTTCGAGAGGGAGGGCGAACCCACCCCGCTCTCGGCCGTACCAGGGCATTTGGGGGCATATCTCATGAAGATACCAAAGAAGGAAGATCTGAGCAAATGTGGGAACTCAGGTACAGGGGCATCACACTACTGTCAGTACCAGGAAGTTTTCAACAGAGTTCTGTTGAAGCGGATGAAAGATTCAGTATACGTCCAGCTTCTAGATTAACAGGCTGGACTCCGTAAGGATCGGTCTTGACAGACCAAATCGCGATAATACGGATCATCGTTGAACAATCAATTGAATAAAATTCGTCACTGTACATCAACTTCCTCCATTATGAGGAAGCATTTGACAGTGTGGATAGGAAAACATTATGGAACCTTCTTCAAAACTATGAAGTACCTGAGAAAATCATCATCATCCGGAATTCGTACGACGAATTACAGTGCGAAGTGGTGCATGGAGGACAGCTGACAGACTCATTCCAAGTGAGGACCGGAGTCAAACAAGACTGCCTACTCTCCCTCTTCCTCTTTCTTCTGGTGGTTGACTGAATTATGAGGACCTCGACATCTTAGGGGAAGTACGGAATACAATGGACAGTTCGGAACCAATTAGAAGATTTGGACTTCGCAGATGATCTGGCCCTTCTATCCCATACACATCAAGAAATGCAAGTCAAGACAGTCAGTTTGAAAGCAGCCTCTGCATCAGTAGGCCTCAACATACACAAGGGGAAAACCAAGATCCTCAAACACAACACGGAGAAAACCAACCCAATCGCACTTGATGGAGAAGCTCCTGAAGAGATGGAGACATTCACGTATCTGGGTAGCATCATGGATGAACAAGGAAGATTTGACTCAGACTTGAAGGCACGAATTGGGAAAGCAAGGACAGCACTCCTACAGTTTAAGAACATATGGAACTTAAAATGACTCAATCAGTCGCAGAACTACCACAACCATAATCAAAAAGGTACAAGTATTTATAAACAGTTGTCTACGCAAGATACTGAATGTTGGTTGGCTGGATACCACGAGAAACAGCCTACTATGTCAGAGAACAAATGACCTTCCAGTTGAGAAGGAAATTAGGAAAAGACGGAAGTGGATAAGACACCCATTGAGGAAACCATCAAACGGCATCACGAAGTAAGCTCTAACTTGAAATCCTGAAGGAAATTTGTAAAGAGGAAGACCAGGTAACACACCACGCCGAGAATCGGAAGCAGACATGAATAGGATTAATAGCGACTAGAAAGGATTGCCCAGGACAGAGTTGGATAGAGAGTGTTGGTGAGTGGCCTATGCTACTTCGCGTGGGGTAACAGGCGTAAGTA